TGGACTAATTATATCCTTTCATCCATTCTAATCAGCTTGGGGGTTGTAAGATTCATCACAAAATTTTTTTTCTTGGCTTTGTTGAGGCAATATCTGCAAATAAAATCAAAGATTAGTTCAATTCTTGCTTTACATGATGTTTAAATGAGCAGTCTATCAAAATTGCACTTACCCAAAGTAAATCTTCAAGTGTCCAAAGATGTTACTTGAATAGTCTCTCTGGATCCATTCTTGAAATCACCAAAGTACAAGTTTCTTCAGCAATTTCTTTAATTTTTGAAGCAGTCCTCTAATAAAATGACATTAGTAAAGTTTGTTTACAGGTGAATTTGATGTCCTCTGTCCACATTTTGACTTTCTTCTTCTTTACTTCGTGTAAATCATTTTCAGTCTATATATATATATAGAATGATTTCAATAAATTTTACATTTCATTCACTCAATACGTTGAAGGTGCTTTGATGATTCTATTATCTTCTGGATCTTTTGAATACTGAGCTTTATATATTACTACGTTAATGCTTGACACTATTAAAGAGAAAACTCATGATCAGGAAAGTTCAGAGTTAGGTGATTACACAGTTGCATACAGTCAATGAGTGTAAATTCCCACAAAAAAAGTACACATTGATTTTTGATTGTTTGAGAAACTGCATGACGGCCCAAAGAGGATGTTAATGCTAGTTTGGTTAGCTCAGTGGTCTGTTTGACCTGTGTTATATTCCTTTGGTGTTGTTTAAAAACAGCCCTGAATAGTATGTAATAATGTTGTAATAACAGCAACCCATATGAAATCAGGTGTTTATCAGGGCCATGTTCAGTAACACAGAATGTTACATAAGAAATCTAATTAGCTAGGAGGGCAGAGCTAAGAAGTGTTCTGAATATCCTTGAACAGTGTGCCCAGTTAGCAAGTTAGACTTTTCACATGTAAAAATGGAGAATGATGTAAACATCATAATTTCATCATAATTTTATGATAAAATAAATTAGCATAACCATAACACAGTGGTTCTTAACCAGTGTTCCTTAAACCTACCTTGAGTGTTCCACGAAAGAAAACTTTTTAGTGTTTTCAAATTTATTCCCATTGCTATATTCATAGATAATTCCATGTTTCTATTTTTATTCAATATATTGGGAGGTTAATCAACTACAGTTACAACTGCCAACCATCTCGAATGCAATTCTGCAGTTTGAATGTTTTAGTATATGTAATAGTAAACTATGCTGGAATAATGAACAAAACAAAGATATTCTGGTCTTATGTAATGTAATTTGAGTTTGTTTTTCTCTCGGAGACGTGGTGGAATGGGGATTTAAAGTTGATGTCCGCCAAGACTTCGGGTCGGTTTGAATTTATTTATATGCCCGGATTTCGTGTTTCTCGAAGAGGCCACTTGATGGGTGGATGGATGGCTTTTTCTTTTGTACTACTTATAGATTTAAAGATATATTCTTCTCAATTATTTATCAAAATTCATAGGAAAACTTTGACTTTTGTATTTATCTACTGACATGAAAATTTTTGGATAGAAATTTTGTCAAGATTGGAACTCACTATAGGCAATAAGGAAGTTATTATTTATGGGGATTGTAATTCTAGAATTGGCCTCTGTGAACAGCAATGGCTAAAATCTATTTTGAGGGATTCTTCTTCATGGCAATAAGTATGAAATTTAAATCTACATTTTTACAAAAATGTTAATGTTTAGATGAAGATCAAATTAATCTTGGATGTTTTAAATAGCCATATTTTTTTTGGTGGGTAACCAACTTTGCCTTGACAGAAAAATTGTCAATTTTCTTGGTTTGATTCTGCATGTCACTCTGTAATAGTTGAAAGGAATAGGGCATTAAATTAAATAAGCTGAGGAAGGTGACCACGTATAGCAAACTAGTGGTTAAAAATTATCTTAAGTTGAGGAATGTCGCAAAAAATCTTTGCAGGGCTACGAAACAAATTTCTGCTCTTGATTGCGAATAATGCTAATTTTAAGGATTGTCGGAAGTTTTGATGGATTGTTAGAAGGTTGAATAGTTCTTTAGTTGCGAGAAACCCAGATTTGCATTGCTACTATCATTTCTTTCGTCTTTGTGGTTCTCAGTCACCCTACATTCCCAATCTGTCGTTATATAACTATTTGTTCTTTCTTCGATTATCCAAAAAGCACTGATAATCTTCAATTCTTGCTCTAATTCTTGCTTCAATAGAATTAGATCAATTCACTACTGTCATTGCAGACACTAATTATATACAAGTAAATTTCAAATTTCTTACAGGGTTTTAGTTGTTTAAATCATGCTTACTAAAAAAGAAAAGAGTTAGTCCCACCTACAAACTCTTATTTGGAAAATCTATTGCTAACATTCTAGGTTATTCAACTCTTACAACCTAACAGTTCTGATTATACACCAGCCCATTCACCATAAAATACTCTGCATTGACAGAGACCATTATGAATTCATAGAAAACTCAGATATTTATTGGATAGTTCTTAAAGACATAAATCTAAATATTAATACATACTACATCAGGGCCATGGCCAGAACACTGTCTCAAACCAACACCAAAGGAATAAGATAGGTCAAACAGACAACTGAGCTATCCAAACTGGCTTTAACATCCAATTATAATTCCCTTTTGGATGACATGCAACTTCTGAAACAGTGCAAAAATTAGTGCATGCTTTTTTTGTGGAAATCTACACTAACTGCATGCAATTACCCAATCTAAACATTCCTTGATCCTTAATTTTTTTCTCTATAAAATAATACATTAAACTTTGACACTATTAAAGATAAGCTACCACAAGCAGCTTTAATAATATATCACATAGAAACTATAAACTGCATAAACAATTTGCAGTTTATAGAAATTTATCTTTATTTAATGTAATTTCCATGTATTTGTGTTCACTGCATGACTTTCTGTACAGATACTAATATATTCAACTATCTTTATAGAAAAACTGAAATTCTCATTGACTTTTTGCAACCGATTCATTTTCAAATTTGAGCCTCTCTTCAAATTCAACCATTCTGGTTTTTAAAAATCGATTTGATTTTCAAATCACAATATGACAAATAAATACTGTCAAAAGTAGTTGCATATATAAACACTAGCTGTTACCCATGGCTTTGCCCGCGAGGATTTTGCAAGCAAACCCCTTTATATTCAGTATTTCAACAACCATAGTAATTGTTATATAACACCTACCAATGAGAATTGCCGAGAATCAAACAAGCTATTTTCAATTTGGTCAATTTTCTGGAACGTTTACGATCGTTCTATAATCAAACCAATATGAAAAAAGAAATTCGAATTTAAAGCAATTTGATCATTTTTAAAATCAAAATAGATAAAAATATTTATAACAATGTCTGAAATGTTATCAATTTAATACATCTAAGTACTCAATGAAAATTAAACGTAATTGAAAACAAAAAATCACATCTAAAATAGTACAGTAGAAGCTGTTCTTCCGGTTAAGCCCTAATCCACTCCCTCTCCCCCTCCGCGGGGAAATTTCGAAAAATCCCTTCTTAGTGTGCATTGCCATGGTATACCCTACTAAAACGCAGATAAAAACAACAAATCGCATCTAAAATAGTACAGTAGAAGCCATTCTTCCGGTTAAGCCTTAATCCTCTCCCCTCCTGCGGGGAAATTTCGAAAAATCCCTTCTTAGTGCGTGTTTCCATGACGTACCCTAACTGTGTACCAAATTTCACCTCTTTAGGTTCAGTGGTTTGCTCTGGGCGATGATGAATCAGTCAGTCAGTCAGTCAGGACAAGTAATTTTATATATTTAGATTCAATAACCCAATTTTTAGATTAATGCCAGACAACTGCTGGATTAGTTCAATTATCTACAGAATGCTTTGCTTTCCAGTAACTTTTTCAACCATCTAACCTGTTCTGCAGATTAACACATGTTGCTTTGGCAATTTACCTTTACAACACACCCATATCATAACAGAAGGTCCTTTTTTTGTCTGTTTAGGTAAGGATTTTGCTACTAAATATCAATTATTGTTAAATTTTAGGGGAGGAGGATTTACCCCAACATCCGTATGGTCAGTTCAATCTCAAGAAAGACATTCTGAAGGACCTGCCAAATCCTTTAACAGAGGAAAGGTTGGTACTATTAATTAAAACAAACCTTAGTTTCTTTCCTTAATGTCATCAGTAATAATCCCAGGATAAATGAATATCCTTGAATTACCTGTTTCTGTTAATATAGTTTTGGAATATACGAGGGATATTTTTTTAAAGACTGTTGTACAACAAAAAATGAACTACTAAACTTTACAAGTAATTTGTTTTTTCTCAGATTCAGCATACTTTTGACTACCTTTTCACATAGTTTCCATTGTTGTTGAAACATTTGTCATAGTGTAAGACTAATTTCAGTAGACCTATGTCATACAAGTATGCCGCCCGAGAAGATAAACATTCATGGATTGAGAGCACAATTTCCTACAGTTTTCTGACACAAATTTGTAAAGAACTGACCACGAAACTTGAGGAAAATTAACTGATAGGGTGAAAATGGTGAATTATCTGTTTCCATGAATCACGGTGTCTACTGCACCGTGACGATTACAGGCAGACGACCCAAGCATGGTTCGTCATGCACATTCTCTCAGCCTTCCTTAAAATCTTACCCACTTACAAACTTTTCTATCACTCATGGCATTCAGACCATAAACTTTGAAGATCTGGTGATAAATCTCTGCCAGTTTCACATTTCTTGTGGCCAGGAAGTGAATAAAGGACCTTATTTTACAGGTGGCAGGCCACTCCATCACACGTGAAAAGAAAACACACTGACATGATTCAAAATGGCATTTGTTTGTGTGCAAGAGATGTCAAGAGACACTGCACATGTGCAAAATTATGAATGTATGCATTTTGAAAAGATGTTGCCAAATGGGCCTTACTTAAAAAAATGCTCCTCATACCTATACGTATTCATCAGTAAAATTAAAAATGGACTGTAATAATTCGTCAATAGGTCATTTGATTTTTTTTCTTTTATTAGTTTTAAAAATAACAGTACATACTGTACATATGTTGAAAAGTGACTAATGTTTCTCTAACAAAGCAGTTAATAAATCATTGAGATGCGTAGTAACCTTCCTGGGATCGTCAACTAATCCTGCAGAAACCATTGCGTTATCCATCAACTGAAATGTAAAAAAATAACAAAATTATTTGTTTTAATAATGAACATTTAAGAAAAAAATTTTGAGTAATTTGAGCATGCTTCTCTTCACCTATTCTTTTTTATAAACAATAACTTAACACCTGATCACTCGCTGAGAGATTTATTCTTAAAACAAACGTTTTCAATCCAATCAATGGATCATCGTCAGGTAAATTAGAACATTTCAAAAAATAGAACAACAAGTTCAAAATACAAAAAATATAAATATTAATAACGGATAACCAATATATTACTAACANCAGGGTATTGAACGGTGACCAAAGGCAAAATTGGGGCTGATAAGAGGAAACATTGCGTTTAATGGTTTCCAGATGATGAGAACAATGTACAGTAATGGCACAAAGTGTGAGATTCATAGAAAAGTTTTCCTAAGAATATTTCCAATCCTTTTCTCACACAAGAGAAAATGGGTTAGGGGGCGTTGGGTATAACTTTATGGAACAAAGGGGGCGGTGGATCGAAAAAGTTTGAGAATCACTGGTTTAAACCCTGCTTTTAGAAAACATTCTTGATTGTCTTTTCTGTAACATTTCTCCAAGTATAATCTATCATCCTCATAGCATCTAAAACATTGATTGATGATTGCAATACCTTTCTAGCTATGTCATCTGGAGTTTTCGAACCAGTTTGCTTCCAAATCCCACTTTGAAATTTTAAATGATTCCTTCATTGAGAGGTGGTATTTGGAGCTTTGCCTCCAAGTACCACCTACCACCTTATAGTAGGGAATTGGAATGAACATTGCAGTTATCAATGAAAAATAAACTTTTTTTAAACCAATAGATTTGTCAATTCCTTTCAACCAGGCACTGAAAATTTCGCTTGTCAGCCAAGTTTTGTACGTTATAGGAAATGATTTCCCTTTTGAGAAACATCTCAACTTTGCAGAACAACCAATCAGTGGTGGAAGCTTTTCACTTCCAGTTTGATTAACTTAGAGTAGTCACAAGTACTTTACTCTGTTTCCCTCTCAGTACTCTTGTTCCTTGAATATCGCTGTTTTATTGGTTAAACATTGGAAACAAGGCTTGTTTCATCTGCATTGAAAACAACTACTGGCTTGTAGCCTTGAATAACAGAAGAAAGCTCCTTGATCCACTGTTTGTAAACACTTTGAGGCACACATGCACTTTCACTGCAAACTTTCCTGAAGACAATGTTGTGCTTACTTTTAAAGCTCTTGAACCATCCATTTCTGGCTCTAAATTCACTACAGCCAAGTCTTCTGGCAAAATCCTCAGTTTTCCTTTCTAACATCATTTCACAAACCATTTTCTTATACATTTGTCTATTTCCTGTTGTTGTTTTCGAAGTTTCTGTCTATTGAATCTCTGTTTTTTATTATTGTTGAAAGCATTCTCGATGGAATACCAAACTTGGTCACAACTTTATTCTTTCTCATCTGAGGATTTCCATCCAAAAATTTTAAGTTTTACATTTTTTTTCTTCAATTGAAAGTATGTTCAATTTCTTTTTTCACACTGATCATTTGCCTTGCTTAATTTTGCAATCACAAACTTCATCAATGGTTTTTTTTACATAATTTAACTTATATATAATTGATTTTAAATTGTAGGTTGGATGTCATGCCAATATTTTTACTAAAATAAGGGAGAAACTTTCTCTAAATGTATTTAATGCATTTTTGTGAATGTGTGTTATTTTGCTGCTAGCACCTTCAACATATTAAAAGGCGTTTTCTTCAAGCAAAATCTTGCCATTAGCTTTTAATTTAAAAAGCTTGTATGAATTAACCATTTAGAATAAGCAAATATAAAGAATTTAAATTGAAGTGCTGGTGGTGACTACTTGCATGTGCCATAATGCATATATTAGGCACCATAAGCGAAACTAAAAGTGGAATTTCAGTCTTATAAGCTGACCCACATTGCAGGCAACTCAAACGTGAGGGAGTTTCATGATTTAATAATATGGTGAGGAGGGCCTCCCAAACATACACCAGGGCCCTCTGATCACAGTACCTGAGCATCACCCCTGGTCCCACAGCAGGGTGCATTGGTGTTGTAACACCATCCTGGACAGCTCAGTGTCGCATCTGCCTACCATGACAGAATGTTGGTGCTCAGAAATGTGGCAAGACAACATTCTAGTTGTTGTGCTGTCCCTACATAGTGGGCGCATATGCCAGATATTTTCTTTTGGCATGGCAAGACACAGAGGAAGATTTCCTTGCGAATGTTTATTCTTCTATTGATTTCACCTGGATAAAAGAAAATGGGAGAAAAATTGCATTTTTAGATTTAAGCATCTCCAAGTCCCAGGGAGGTTTGATATTCTCCGTGTTCCATAAATTTGATAACATATCCCCTATAATCCCTGCCATGGCTTACCAACCACAGCAGTACATTAATGTGATTTAATGTGACTATAGTTCCTTTAATTTAGAAGGGCCTTTTTATTGCCCTCTATGCAAACCTCTATGAATGTTCAGCTTGCTTTCATTCACTCAGCAGTAACTGCAGTCAGATATAGCAATTCCAAATATAGACATGTCTTAAACAAGGTTAAAAGGTCTTTTCCTGCCACTGCCTTACACAATCCAAAGGTCTGTCCTTCACTACCATTCTGTGGCCACATCCCAGCCTAGATTCATCATGTTTTCAGACAACATGTATTAATTTTACCGGTTACCTTGCGCCCAAGTCTCAGGAGGCTTCTATGCAATGACAGGGATGCTACTTCCATCCTAGAAAAGTCGGGCATATACTCTATTCCATTAGAAAACACAATATCTGGCATACCAATATGCACTCACTATGTAGGGGCGACGACTATAATATTATCTTGCCACATTTCCGAGCGCCAACACGATAGGCAGGTGTGAAACTGAGCTGTCCACGATGGTGTTACAACACCAACACACCCTGCTGTGAGACCAGGGGTGATGCTCAGGTTCTGTGATCAGAGGGCCTTGGTGAATGTTTGGGAGGCCCTCCTCACCATATTATTAAATCCATGAAACTCCCTCACGTTTGAGTTGCCTGCAATGAGGGTCAGCTTGTAAGACTGAAATATCACTTTAAATTGAAGTGTGGGTGGTGACTACTTGCATGCACCATAATGCATAGACTAGGCACTGTAAGAGGAACTAAAATTCTTTATATTTGCTTATTCTAAATGTAGTTTTCTTCTAAATGGTTAATGCCATTAGCTGTTAATTTAAAAAGTTGTATGAAAGGTTTTATTCGAATCTGTATCTGCCTGAAGACGATGCCTGTTAATACGGTGAAAGTGCTAGCAGCAAAATAAAATGTTCTGTAAATGTAGAAACATTCACGAAAAGGCATTAAATTTCTTATTTCAGTAAAATCAATTATAACAAGTCAAACTCATAGCCAGTCAGAGAGAAGCAATTTTAATCACGACTATGTACTGTATTGCATAAGATATTTCTCAACTACAATTTTTGCCATCAAAATGTAGTCAGTAAGCTTTGAATTTGTCATCGATGCTCCAGTCCATAATTTGAGATAGAGGTTTTGAGAGAAAATTATTTGAGATAAACATGAAAAATATATTGAATTAAGGCTGCAGATGCAGGGCAAAAATAGGTTTTTCAAGATAAATATATTATATTGATCTTTTAAAATAAATGTGTTAGTGTGTATTATAATAAAAAATGCAGTAAATCTAAATGATTTTGGCTTTATCACTTTACCTGTAAGGACAATAATTCAGCCAATTTAGGATCACTTTTATGTAATGCACTTAATTTCTTCATAATGGGATGCCTGAAAATAAAAAAATATGTAAATTTTAATATGTAGAAAAACTTTTAAAATTCAGGGCCCAGATAAAAATAAAAAAAGTTAATACAATGAATGAAAAACAGTAAAAAATTAAATTTGTCTGTTAAAATTAATTTCCATTTTAAGATTACACAATAGAGAGTCTTTCGATGTCCTTTCTCACACACATTAATTTTACAATTATAGTCCTGGCAATTTTATCAAATTTTTATTTGTGTCATCATCGAAAGAAAGTCCTGTAATGTTTTGCATAGCGAGGCGGATGAGCAGCCTCTAATAAAAGACTAATAAATTTTAAGTCTTTTGATGTCCTTTATCACATCAGGAAAATAACAGTTTTACAATTCTGTTGTAAAACTGTTATTTTCCTGATGTGATAAAGGACATATACAAATTATTATTTTAAAATATCACACGAAAAATATTAGAGTTAAAACATTAACATGATAACTGAATAAGACTGTACACTCTTATCAGCATGAAAAGGCTCAAAATAGATATACTTTTTGTGATAAAAGTTGGTATACTTTAAACATACAGAATGTGTATATGAAATTTAAATACAAAATATTCTAAAAAACTACAAATAAAGTGCTTTCCAATTATTACTAGTCATCAAGAATGTCTACAAATGCTTACTCTCTTTACAACACACATTAAATACATGTTTCATTTTATCTAAGTATTATTTTTTAACTGAAAATTTATGTAAACTATATTTTTTCTTAATAAAACATAGTTTATTTAAATTAATCTTCTCTTGTTTTCTATCATAGATTGCAATGTAAAAGAAATAAAGTAAGATCTGACAGAGTATGATTTACAAACTTCTTAATGTATTAGTGAATCTAAAAAATAGTGAAAAGTAGCTGGTTTGCTCACTTAACTGCATCTAATATTCACTACAGTTAAGTAGAAGAAAGATCAGAACAGCAGTTTGTTTGTATTTTGTTTTCTAGCATAGAAACAATATCATCATTCATTCCATTCAAAATTGTACTAAAGTCAAACTGATGAAAATGAATAATGCATAATTTTAGAGTTTTACTGTAGAAAATCAAGATCAGAAATATTTAAATTGAAAAAAAAAATTTTCTTTATGCTGTTAGCAGAAGTAAAACTGCTGCAAGATAAAGAGAATAAAGCTTTCTTTACAAAAATTATTTTCTTGGATAAATGAGTGTTTGTAGTAAACAAATCAATATGTACATTGTTATTAACATTAAATATGTAAATTTTCTAATTACCCTAAATTCACTTCTAGAGTTGGTGCTAATAATTTATATTTCTGTTCTTCAGGTAGAGATTGAAGAGATGCTCTGACAAAGTGTCTAGCTGTTGCCATGTCCTCCACAGAAATCAGACAGGGATGATTTGAAAGACGTTTAGTAATCTAAAAGTGAAAATTTGGTATTAGATTGTGCTTGCTTAATTTATGAAATAAATCATATAAGATCTTTAAACAAAGCAAAACATAAGAACATAACTTGATTTCTATTTATTTACTGAATTTTAAATTTACCTTTATTTTCTCTGTCTTATTTTTTAATGTTGCTTTTAACCAATCAATCAATTCATTAGCCTCATTTTTCGATAATTCTCCTTCACCTGATAAATGATAAACAAAATAATCACTACAAAATATAATTCACTTTAAAATTGTCCATTTCATAAAGCTGTTTTGTACTGTACATCTGACTAATGTAGTAGAACATCCAAGGATAGGGAATCTGTATATTGTACTCATTCATTCATTTATTATTTATTTATTTACGTACAAGAGTACATTCCCAGTACTACTGTGCATAACTGGAAGTTAGGTTACAGAATTATACATGTATCTTCAACAATATATTAGTTATAATGGAAATGTTAAAATAATATTATGTTAGGAATTTATAACTATGTACGTAGAAAGAATTTGCAACATTCTGAGACATGAATTTAATTAAATAATGAGCAAAAAGTGGTTAAATAGTATTATTACAGTGTGGGCGAGTGTTGCAACTAGATTCTTATTTTATTTATAAAGGTTTTCCTGCTTGAATTGCCTGTATATTTCACTGTTATTTGAGTACATATTTTTGGCATGGCCACGAGAGGCCCTTCCTTGTTACTAGAAGTTTGAAATCTATTCTGTCCTTCACCATGATTGCATATCTCCAGAGGTAATGGTTGCTTCCATCTGATTCACCACAAAGCTCACAGGTCATTCTGTGTGATATTGAACTTCCCACGAGCTGTAATAAATATCAAACAATGGAAGTTCTATTTAATGAATCTGAGAGTAAAATAAAAGTTAAATTCCAATGAAATTAATTTTGAGGAACTTATAGCTGATGTGCAACAGCTGCCTCTCTTCAGTGGTCATTCCAGTAGTTATTTGAGAAACCAAGTGAGGCACAAAATCAAATAGAGAATAAATATGGAAAAATTTGACAATTTACTGAAGTACAAACTCATGATATCAGACATAATAGTTCAGAAATAAAAACCAATCAGTTCATGTCTTATTTTACATAATGTGGTAATTCACTATTTGGTTATTATTAAGAATAAAAATAATTTTGTTAGTAGGCAATTTTCAATAATTAGACAGTAAAAATGTTTTACCAAGATTATCTATGGTAGCATCTTCTTTCTCTCTTCTCATTTCTTTCTCTACTGAAGTTACACTTTTCCTGTCAAACTGTCTTAATTGCATTAAAACCAGTTCATCATAAGGTTCGTAACAAAATAACACTTCAATGTCTTTCTTCTTGATTGCTTCGAAATAAGGAGAATTTTCGGCTAGTTGGCGACTGGAAAGAATAAAATAATTACATAAAAATATTGTTTTATTTTGCTATAAATTTTCAGTGGACATTGAATTTAAGTAAAAATACACAGGGTTCCTACTCAAATTTTTGTTTTAAATTCCATGACTCCGACCTTTACATCCCTTACAGTATGGCAAATTGACTTACTATGCATGTATGGTATTGCTTCTATAACATTTTGGTTAGTTATTTTTTCTAACTAACAGTTTTAATAAATGACAATTATATATTTTTTTTATAACTAAAAAGTTTTATTAAATTGATAAACAGAATAAACTACTATAATCTAACCATAAATCTACATGGCTTTAAAAAGAGAAAAAAAAGGCAATTATTTATTAACAAATCCCTTATAATCCATATAGAAAAGTATATTTTTATTAAATTTCCAGAACATTATAAAATAAAAATAATGATAAATAAATAATACCATTTAAATTAAAATTATTTTTTGTATTTTGTAAATTTTTTGAGAAATTTTGTGTATGCTTGAGAGAAATTTTAGATCCTGAAAATATTCTGCACCTCTCTTCATAAGTTATATTGCACCACATTACTTCTTGCTGCCTGTAGACAACTACACTTAAGTCTTTTGATGACAACATGCTTGACTAAGTGTAATGTCAAGGCAAATTCCTGAATATAACACTTCTAAAATAATTAATCATTAATTGAAAAGAGATTTATATACAATCTCTACAAAACTACTGGTATAATTAAGATAAATAGCCACAGCTACATGTTAAATACCAATAAACTAGTAAAAAATAAATAACATCAAATATTTTCTTCTGTTTTAAACAGTCATCCACAGATATAGACGAATGAATTTTTCAAAAATAGAACATAAATTTAAAAGCTTGAAATGTCACAAAATATACTCATGTTTATTGAGTGTTTAACATTGTGCTTCAATCTCGGTAATACATTAAATAAAAATAAAAATCAAAGAAATATATTTTGTACATTATAAAAATCTTAATTCAAGGGTTATGGGAGGCCATAGAACATCATCTCCCCCCATGCAGTAGAAAGAGAGTACATTTTCATAAAATTAATTGCTATACTGCTTTTGAAGGCAGTGAATATTTCTTTGTTAGAGATATTTCAGATTGGCTTGGTTGTCACAGTGGTCTAATATACAGCATTATCAAATTTAACATGAACGTCATAATCATTGGCAAAAGTAGCTAGTGCAGTTGTGTAGAGCCCCTTTTGAATTTACACTGATGCTCCTTAATCCTCATGTTCAGGCATTGAGTAATGGCCCCAATATATTTGCACGGACGATTCATCCTATGAACTACCTACTATCCTTACACAGGTGTAAGGATAGTAGGATGAATCATTATGCAGTTTTTCTCCAATGGGTCCTTCACCTACAGTTATTTTCAAGTATCAGAACTGATATCTCCTGTTAGCAATCCCATTATTCATGTAAGTGGGACATTTCCCTATAGATGTTAACTAGGACCTTATTATATGTAACAACCAAAAAGAACCTGTCTTCTGATTGTAAATGCTCTGTGGGATGTTCTTGACATAAAATAAGTGCATTAATTAGATACACATGGTATCCGTGCTGCCTAGCTATATGTCAGATATAATCAAACTCTGTTTTCCTATCCCCTGCTGCCAAACAATGTATGTTAGCCCTTCTTATAAGGGCCCTAAAAGAGGAAATCTTATAATTGAAAGGATCGTGATCTTGCATGGATGAAGAGTGGCACACATGATTTTTTACAGAACACCTTCATTATCAACAACCACACTGTAATGTACCTGCTCCACCTGCAAAGATAGGCCATATGTGTAATCATTGAATGTCCTTATGAATGTCAACAGGTCCTGTTTTTTCTTCCAAAAAATCAAAACATTATGTTGAATGCAAGATAACATGAGGTAAGATGTTTTGTTTGAGACATTGTACCACTAATTCACACTGTTCCCGAGATGGGACTACCCATAGTTACCCCTCTTCCCTGAAGAAGTACATCTTACGTGTCACTTGACCTTTTTTTGCCTGAACACGAGGATTAAGGAGCTATCCACAACCACACTAGATACTTTTCCCAATGATAATGATGTTTAAGTTAAATTTGATAACATCTGTATATTACCACTGACAACCCAGCCAATCTGTAATATCTTGAAAGAATAGAAATATTCAAAGCCTTCAGAAGGGGTACAGTGATTAATTGTAAGGCAATGGAGTCTCTTTTGATTGCGTGGACAGCATTCTTTGACCTCCCATAAATCTTGGATTAAGATATATATTTTGTATTTTAAATAAAAGTAAAAGAATTTTATAATGTATTATTAAGAAAACATTTGTTTTTGTTCGATTATATTTATTTTTTGTTGATTTATTGCTATTTTCATGTAGCTGTGGAGATATATGTAGGTTAACATCATAGAAATCCCTCCAGAATAAAGAAGTACAGCTCTATATATGTGTTCAGTTTCTATCATAATTAATGTCCCAAATTATATATAATTTTTCTATTTTCAAACAATATGCAGCATATTTTTCCCTTCAGCCCTAATACATTCATACATGGAGTATCATATATATTTAATAACTAACGATATTGGAATATTATTGTTAACATAAAACAGAAAGTTAAGAATTATGGTAGAAGAGACATTAATCTGCCATTTGGTTTCAATATCTAGGTCAGATCCTTAGCCAAATCCAAAGTAGAGTTGATGAGTGATGAAGCCATGATATGGATACAAAACAATCTTCTTAATGCCCATAAGACAAAAAACTTTGACAGCTCATAGCATTTTTAAATAAAATTGTGGCTTAAATAAGATCTATGATTTTATTTGACCAGGCCCAACATATCTAAATCAAACCATCTGTAATAAAACTTGAGGACTCAGTTTGATCTTCAGAACAGTCAACCTTTGTTGCCTCAGACATCATACTCCATACAATTTTCATTACCCCATGTCAGTGTTTCTCAAACTGGGTTCCATGAAATAAAAATTCACAATCCTAAATTTTTACATATGCTATTCAACATTAATCATTCAGTTACTGACAGCAAGTGGACAACCCAATATTATATTTGTCTTTAAAATGTTTTCTGGGTGAAACAGAGTAATTGCTACATTTCATTCTTGAATCAAATTTTTTTCATCCATTAACAAAATATATATTTTTTAGACTAATGTACAACAGAGCTTGCATCTCAACTTTATCGTGGACACGAACAGATAAGGTTTCTTAGAATTCTAAATAAAAACTCTGTAACCTACTAAGGGATAAAACAGATTGAGAAACACTATCCTACTTGAAAATGATCTATATATATAACCCATTCATTTCGTGTCCGTCCCGTAACCGTTTCATAACGGACACTAGAGGCGCCCCTATCGTGTGTCATATTTCAAACACCAAATTAAATTAACAATTTTAATTATTATTTAAATTAACAATATAAATTATTATTATTCATTTGGCCAATAAATTATTATTTGGTCAATATAACAAT